TTTTTTAATACTGGGGTCTGGTTTGTTGTTATTTTGTTTTGTTTTAATTTCCCTGTTTGTTTTCTAAAGGAAAAGAGAGAGAAAGAAGGTATGGAGTTGGATGGATGGGAGAAGATCTGGAAGGAGATGAGAGAGGAGATTAGAATAAACTAAACTGTGATTAGAATATATTGTATGAAAGATAATTTATTTTCAGTTAAAAAATGATAAAAGTCAAAAGACAAACAGGCACTCTTGGTATCAAGACAGCCCACTACACTGTAAGCAGCCAGGGACATGTGTCACTAAGAGGGACCCTGACAATCACAATGAGTGGTCAGGTCATTATGAGACACAATGCCACTGTGGCTCTCCATGTCACAGACATTCATCATGGCCTCGACCAGGAGGAAAAGAGTGGAAAGCCAGGCACGTGGGGCATACTTCAGGGTCTCTGGGGATACACTGTTATCTTCAGCTGCTGCAGGGCTTCTGGATAGATGATCCAAGAGCAGGAAGCAGAAGTGCAGGAAGTCAAATTTAACCAGATCCATGTAAGTCCCGCTAGTCCTCACACAGGCTGTCTCATGATTCCAAAGATCAACCCAGAGCTTCTGGGAAATACTCCTGCTATTGTCTTCCACAGAGGAAAATCTTGGGATGAGGGTGGGGAGGGAGGTGCCAAGGAGCTTGACCTGGAAGCTCACCTCAAAGGGCAGAGGCAGGGCTTGAACTCAGGCCACCTGCACTCTAGGTCACACCCAACTTCAAAGTTATTCTGCCACTTTGGCAATTCAAAGTTTAGAACTATCTAGCGGCCAGCTGCTTCTCTCTAAGTCACTAAGCCCCTTCCTGTGGGGTACCTCATTCAAGAAGAGACCCTGTCCCTCTGGGGAGGCTGGGAGAAGGCAAGGCTAAATGGGAAGCATGTGTGGTGAAGGACTACATGGCCTCTGGGATCCCTTCCAGCTGTAAGACCATAGCAGTTTATTTTAGAACATTCTGCCATCGAGTTATTAACAAAACTGTTGGCTCCCATTCCAAAGTGCAATTCTGCTTCCTCTGACTCACACAGACAGAAATACTTGAAGATGGTGCATTGGTGCCGTCTAAGCTTCAGCAAGTACTGGGCCTAAGCACACGTCCCTCACTCGGTTACCACCAGTGAATGGACAGGAAGCTCCTGGTCCCTGGGGCTGAGGACTAACAGGAATGATGAAGATACTGGTTATAAAGATAAAAAACTAGGCTGGACAGGGTCTCCCAGCCCTTTAAATGCCTGGCGCCTGTAGGAAACAGGAATGTTTATCTAGCACATCAACAGAAGGGCATGGTCGGTCATGACCAAAGATAAACAGCCCTTGGATTAGGGGTTGGGTTACCCCAAACCCTGTCAAGACACCCCAGAAAGCTTTCAGTTCCCTATAAGCTAGTTAAGGCCCACTTTCTGGAACTCTATGGTAAAGAATATGACTGGGAGAATAAAGGCAGAATTTATTCTGTGCACACAGCACCTTCAACCTGAAGGACTAGGCCAAAGGAAAGAGCCAAATGATGGGATCGCCGCACCCCATTTCTCCTCCGCAAAATCCCATCTGTCAGTCATGAAGAACAGGACCCCAGGAACAAGAGCCAGGCATCTCACCTGAGGAGGACCACGCTGTCGGACAGGAAGGCTCCGATGGTGACGTCTGGAAACAAGAAGTCACAGCCTCAGAACCTTGTGGAAACCAGCTCCAGCTGCCCTTTGGCATGGCGCCACAGTGACCGGCCCAGCCTTGCGGTCAGAGAGCCTTCCTACTGCTGCTGTCTGGCTGGGTAACGACTGTATAAGAATTGCAGCCACATTGTCCGAAGTGGCAGCCAAGCACATCTGGCTACTGAGCCTGGAAATGGTGCTGGGTGTGTAAAATGCATAGCAGATTTTGAAGACCCAACTTTAAAAAATTAACTCATTAATAACTTCTATATTAGTTATACAGTAAAATGATAAAATGTTGACTATATTAGACTACACTTCATTAAAATTAATTTCATCTTGTGTATATTTTTCTGTAGTTACTAGCATATACTATTATATATATCATTATTTAAGCAAATATTATTTTAATGGTATATATAATTTACTGTAATTTGTATTGAGTGGATAATTTTTTTAGTGATTTGAAAACAGATTTTTTTTGCCAAGAATTTGTGTTTTCTTAGCAAGACTTTGTATAAAGGAGTTGTTTTTTTTTGTGTATTTTTTTTTTAATCTCAGCTGAATCCTTTAGAAGTCAGCCACCAGACAATAGTTCCCATTCTGCTGTGTGAATAACAATTGTTAACCAAACCAAAAAAAAAAAAAAAAAAAGCTATCTTATCTCCCACACCTATCTTCATTTATCTGGCATGCTTTGGAAAAACAGCTTACCAGGATAGCCATTTCCATCCATATCAATGCCCCCTGATATGGACTGCCCAAACATCCGCAGGATCGGGTTTATCTTCCTCCCAGACAGTTTCTGAAACAGACAATAGAAAAATGGAGTCACTGAGGGCAGTTAGGACCTGGGGCTGTTTGAACCCAGCTTCCTCAGGGCACTGGGTCTGAAGTTGTTGAAAGAAAAGAAAATGTTGGTAGAATATGGCCAGAGGGTCTAGAGAAGGCACTTGAAGATCACACACTTCCTTATTACTGCTTGCCTTGGCCAGATGTCATCATTTAAAAATTTGCCTGAGTTTGGTGACAATAAAATGTCTACTAAAGCATGTTTAAAAAAATTTTTTTTTACGCTTATTTATTTATGTGCAGGGGTTGCTTAGGCCACAGTGTACACGTGGGGGTAAAAGAGGGCCTGAAAGAACTGTTTTTCTCCTTCCACCATGGAGGTCCCTGGGAATTAACCTTAGGTCCTCGGGCTTGGCAGCAAATGCCTTTACCCACTAAGACATCTCACTGGCTCATTGTATGGTTCTGACATGTTGAAATTTAAGACAAAGGCTGGATTATTTTTCCTGTGTGTGTGTGTGTGTGTGTGTGTGTGTGTGTGTGTGTGTGTGTGTGACATGCTGTCTATGATTTTTGTTTTGTTTTTTTAACGCAGGGTCTCTCAATGATATGAAACTTACCAAGTAGTTTAGGCTGGCTGGCCAACAAGCCCAGAGAGCCTGCCCCCTGTTTCCCCAGTGCTGGGATTCTAATTGTGTGCCATCACACCTGGGTTTTTGTTTATAACATGGGTCCTGGGGGGCAACCTCAGGTCCCCAGGTCTGTGGACAGACACTCCACTGGCCGGGCCCTCTCCCCTACTTCTCCGTCTGCTTTGATCCAGGCACAATGGGTTGAAATGCTGGGAGCATCCTCCCCTCCTGTCTCATTAGGTACCATTTCACCTGTCTCCCCTAAGATGGACAGGTCACTAGCATACCCAGCTGGAAAGATAGCCATGTGGAAACTCCCCCTCCAGCCAGCCCACTGGGAGGGTCACACACTCCTAAGCTTCATAGAACTCTCTCAGCCATTTGACCTAGTACATCTAGAACTGCATGGTGCTGAGCCTCCTGTAAAGTACAGGGAGAGAATCAGCCATTTCTCCCGAGAGGCATTCCTCAACCTATGTGTCATACTCACAACTCTACCACGTCACATTTTTATACACCATCAACTTCATCATAACAGTGCTGTGGATATCGCTCTGTATAAATAAAATGCTAATTGGGCAGTAGCCAGGCAGGAAATATAGGCAGAACAAGCAGAGAAGAGAATTCTGGGAACAGGAAGGCTGAGTCAGGAGATGCTGCCAGCCGCCACCATGAGTACCAACATTTAAGATACTGGTAAGCCACGAGCCATGTGGCAAGGTATAGATTTATAGAAATGGGTTGATTTAAGATATAAGAACAGTTAGCAAGAAGCCTGCCACAGCCATACAGTTTGTAAGCAATATAAGTCTCTGTGTATTTACTTGGTTGGGTCTAAGTGGCTGTGGGACTGGTGGGTGAAAGAGATTTGCCCTGACCATGGGCCAGGCAGGACTGGAGAAAACTTCAGCTACAAATGGCGCCCAACATGGGGCACAAACCCATGACCCTGAGATTAAGAGTCTCATGCTCTACCGACTGAGTTAGCTGGGAGGAGAAGTGCTGTGGATATCTCTCTGTATAAATAAAATGCTGATTGGCCAGTAGCCAGGCAGGAAGTATAAGTGGGACAAGCAGAGAAGAGAATTCTGGGAACAGGAAGGCTGAGTCAGAGAGACATTGCCAGCTACCACCATGAAAAGAGAGATGTACCGGTAAACCATGAGCCACATGGCAACTTATAGACTAATAGATATGGCTTAATTTAAGATAGAAGACCTAGATAACAAGAAGCCTGCCACGGCCCTACAGTTTATAAGCAATATAAGTCTCTGTGTGTTTACTCGGTTGGGACTGAGTGGCTGTGGGACTGGTGGGTGAGAGAGGTTTGTCCTGACTATGGGTCAGGCAGGACCAGAAAAGCTCTAGCTACATAACAGACAGCCTAGCAAGAACAGCTGTTGGGGCTGGGGTACCTGGTAAGGTACTTGACTTACAAGCACAGTGGAACCTGAGATCTGTCTCCGGCATCTCCATTAAAAAGCCAGATATGGTGGAATGTGCCTGTAATCCCAGTGCAGGGAGCCAGAGACAGGAGGGTCCCTGAAGCTCACTGGCTAGAGTTAATCTACCTTAAGTGGTGAACTCCAGGCCTGTGAGAGATCCTGGGTCAAAGATTGTGGAGAGTGTTACTGAGAATGACACCTGAAGTTGTCCTCTAGCTTTATACACACATGCCCACATACACATACTCATTTTTTAAAAAAAGAACACAGGGCTGGAGAGATGGGCCAATGGTTAGCACACCCTGCTCTTGCAGAGGCTCCCAGTTTAGTGTCTAGCACCCTCATTTAGAGGCAACTGCCTGTAATTCCAGTTCTGGGTGATCCAGCACCCTCTTCTGGCCTCCTCTGGCACTGCAGTCATTGCTCATGCCCCCTCCCCTAACAAATGCACAGAATTAAAAACAAAAATACTAAGATACTTTTAACAATGGACTACTTGCCACACAGCCAGCCCTCATCCCACCAAAGCTGTCCATTCACACTTATGTGGCGCTATTCCTTTCAAAGACACCAAATATCTTGAGTCAGAAAGTCTCATTTCCTGAGATCTGATCAGTTCCTCCTTTCTTCCATCCACAGTGTCCTAGTTACCTTTCTGTGGCTGTGATAAAAATACTAATAAAAAGCAACCTGGGGAGGAAAGGGTTTATTCCCATTTACAGGTTACAGTCCATTATCGAGGGAAATCAAGGCAGGAACTCAAGGCAGGAGCTTGAAGCAGGAACTATGGAGGCTCTCTGCTCATTAGCCTGCTCAGCTATCTTTTTCACAGAGCCAGGCCCACCTGCTAGGGATGGCACCATCCACAGTGGGCTGGGCCCTCCCACATTAACTAGCAACATAAAAAATGTCACACAGATGTGCCTGCAGGTCACTGTAATGGATACAATTCTTCAATTGAGTTCCCTCTTCCCAGGTGACTCTAGGCTTGGATCAAGTTGATATCTGATAACCATAACATACAGTCTCTCTGTGGATAACCAGAGACACACTTCACTTCCACATTATGTCATGAAGCCCACAACAGAACCAAGTTCACGGTCATCAGGGGCTCACTCTGCCTTTCCTTCTCCATGCTTGTCTTTACTGAGTCATACTGTGGGGAAGCCCTGGTGGAGCTGGGGGAGTGTCCACGGGCTCTGCTGATGGAGAGAGGATGTCCCCCCTCCACCCTCAGCAGCTGATAACTATGAGGAACTGTCCCAGAGGCCATCTGAGAGGGCTGCTTGCCATCTTCTGTTAAGGCATCCGACAGGAAACATGTGAGCATGCAAGGGCGGCCGAGCCCTGTAGGCGATGCTGCAGAAACACGGCTTGTTAACAAGCCCAGCCCCACATCCCACATGGCTCCGTCTAAACAAACTTGTGTGTGTATCTGAGTAAAAGGCACACTTTGAAGCGGCACATCTCAGCTCTGGAAGCCAAGAACATTAGCAGCAGCTTGCTGTGGGTTTTCGTTTTTTGGGTATGCTGTGGCTGGGACAGGGGGAGAGTGAGGGGTGGTCCATTTGGGGGGTGGCAATACAGACTTAAGTTATCCACTGACATCTGCAGGCCATTATGCTATAAAGCCAGGAAGATAAGTCTGCACGGTGCTAATAACCCTAAATGGGAACCAGGAACTGTGGGAAACCTCCGCTTGACCAGGTTTACACACAGCGTCTGTTAGGGCAAGGGAAAGATCACAGGGGCCGCCACAACGTGCCCGGGGGCTCTCGGCTGAGAAAGGCATCTAAGGATCTTAAAATCAACACTTTTCATGGTGAAAGGAGGCGGTGGCATGAGCTAGAGAGTACCGAGGGAGGAGTCCAAGCTCTGATCTCACAATTTCTCCAGCAAAAATAACATGAGTTGGGGCCAAAGAAAAGCGATCCTGTTGCCTAGATTCGTTTCTGATTTCTTCTTCCAGTTCTTGTGCACAATGCCCGCTCTGTCCAGGATCCAGGCCCAGAAGAACCCAGCATTAATGGATTTTTTTCCCTTTTAAATCACTAGCCTTATCATATACATATTAGCAAGCCTGGAACAATATAATCATAGCAGTTTCTCTCTTTCTCTTTCTCTCTCCACCCTTGTATTTAGAGAGCCCCAAACCACTTCTCTTTGTGAAGGCTAAGTAAGCCAGAGTGCACGCTGACGGAGCCACAGCTTCCAGCTGCCCGGCGCGGCTTCCTACTAGATGCTCCACACTAACCACAAATGTGCGTGGCAGCTTTCTGCAAGGCTCCCACCCGGCAACCAAACAAAACACTGCAGAGCCAAAGGGGAGGCGGGGGGGGAGGGGGGGAGAGGGGACTCCCGCAGGTGGCCTCTCTGTGTGATTAGCTTCCGAGTTCCAGGCCCGAGCTTCCAGGAGGATGTGTGGAGAATGACCCTCAGCCCCTGCCTGAGGATGAGCTCCTTAGATGACACAGCATCCCTGACCCAAACCATGCAGGCCCCTCTGTGTTTCAAGCTTCTAATGAAGTTGGCTGAATCCCCTAAAGTTTGCTGTTGCCGTGATGGCTTGTGCCTAAGGAGGAGAGAAACGTCTGCGGATGGACGCCCCTTGAAAGTGGGTTACTTCAAGGCAACACAAGTCTCCATTCCCATGAGTTTTCCAGTGGAACTTCCTTGGGTGGGTCTTCCTAAAATGTAGTTGAGAAAGGTGGCTGCTCAGGGCAAACCCAATACCCTATGTGGTACTGAACGCCATCGGAAAGCCGGCGGCTCCTAAGTGGATC